TACATACATTCTACTTAGATGAAAATTATTAATTTCTGTGTCAATAATCTAGTGGATAGACTTGGCAAACAAAATATAATCCAGTAGACAGACTTGGCAAAGATTGTCCAAAAAAAATGTTCAAACATTTCCAAGTAATCACCCAAGACACTATTTGTATACAAACGGAGTTCAACGTACCGTGCTTTCTCAATGGGCTATTAGTATAAAGAAACTATACAAGTCTGATTTCTAAAATTTACATCTTTAGGCTAACAATAAATCCAGCCTTAATCCCTTCTACAAGGACCCATGGTTCTTTCAGATTTATTTGTTCGTCATATGCAGAATAAAATAAATATTAAAAATACAAAATAAAAGGGGTACCAGATTTTGAAGGAGATTACGTGTACTTGCGTCACTGTTGTCTTCCCCGTCGATCGAGAAGGTGCTTGAAATGCCACCCTTCGGATCTGAAGGAGATTTATCGACGATCTGGTATGAAGAGAACGATCGTGAGAGAGAGAGAGAGAGAGAGAGAACGATGGTGAGAGAGAGTGTTATACCTTTTCTTTTAATAGTGTCTATGACCAATTCTTTTTTTTTTTTAAAGGAAAATTATTTTTATTCATAATAAGGCCACACTTGCGGCGGAGGAAAACCAAGATTACAATGATAGACTAGAATCCATAAAATTCAATCTCTAAGGTATGGTATTTCCAAACTATCTGTATGTAAAATTCCTTTAAGTAGTGCTGGAACTTTGTCGCCGAAGGATAGATCAAAAGACACTCCACTGCTACCATTTTTTGCAAGGAGATCGGCCGCCATGTTGGCCTCACGGAATACGTCCTGGACTTGCGCATTAAGTAATCGGGTCAGCTCTAAAATCTCTTCCCAAAATTCCCAAAGCCACCATAAAGAGCATGTGTCTTTATGTAACCATTGTACCACAATATTGGAGTCGGTTTCAACAATGATGTCCCTAATACCGAGATCCCTACACATACGTAAACCGTCAAGAAGAGCGCGGGTTTCTGCTNACTGATCAGTGGCTCCTTTCTCTTTTAAACATAATTATCGGGACGGTTCAAGGAGCGCAAACAGGAGATGGCTCGGTCTGAGATTTTACTGACCTTGGTAATGAAGCCTGCAATCTGGGAAAGCATTGATTTGGTCTGCCACACGGTTTTCTGCCATGAAATGGGGCATCCTTCCATTCTAGCTTTACATCTGGTTGTCCATAATTCCCATGTAATGATAAGTGGTGCTATGCCGCGAAGAACTCCCGCCTGTGAGGAGCTAGGAACATTTTTCCACCAAAGATTAAGCATCCCTTTCCAGGTGTTAACATAGGGAAGAGAAAGATTGAAGTGGGATGCGAAATAAGACCAGGTCTTTTTTGCGATTTCCCCATTACATAAAACATGGTCTATGGTTTCCACCAAGGGGATCGCACAGCATTTACATTTTGAGGCCAATGGGATCCTAATATTTTGGATCACCTCGTCAACTGGTAAGCAATTTAGCCGAGCTCTCCAAGAAACAAAAGAGATTTTTTGGGGTATTTTGTTGTGCCACAGCCAGCGCTTCCATGTACATGGCATTCCCTTTTTTCGAATTAATTCCCAAGCCGATTTAGTGGAGAAGGAGCCATCCTTGTTGGGTTTCCAGATATAAAGATCGCGCTGTCCAGTAAGGTTTATGTGCACACATTCGATAGCCATTGCTTGATTTTCGTCCAGTAGTTCCCTAAGCCGAATTCCATTCCAGTGTCCAGTTGGCGTCAATAGATCTTTAATTTGTAGTTTTGGTTCCTTAACTTCCAAACCTGACTCAGCCAAGCTTTGAGAACCAGTCCAATTATCATACCAGAAATTTGAAGAGCCATCTCGAACACGGCAAAATGAGTTTTGCAACACAATTTCCATTGCCGATGCCACCCCCTTCCAAAACCGAGAGTGCAAAGGAGAAATTTTCAGCAATGCTACCGGAGTATTTTTCATGTACTTAGCACGAAAAAATTCTGCCCAAAATGATTTTCCAACCAACAACTTCCACGCAAATCTCATAAATAATGCCCGTTGCACTTCGCCAAAGTCCCGGATGCCTAAACCTCCCTCCTCCAATGGGTAGCAAATTTTTCTCCAGGAAACCCATTTTCTTTTCTTAGATCCATCAGTTGCATTCCAGAGAAAAGATGCAAAAATCCGATTCAACTCATTGTGAATCCCCTTGGGCAAATTCAAGACCGATAGGATATGAATTGGCATGCTGCTCAGAACATGTTTTATCAGTGTGATTTTACCCCCAAATGAGAGAATTCGACCCTTCCAACCAGCTAGTTTCTTCTGAATTTTTTCCAGCATTGGTTCAAACAAACTCTTCAGTAATCTTCCTGTATAAAGAGGGACTCCCAAATAGGTACATGGTAGAGCTCCTTCTTTAAAGCCCGATGCAGCCAACAATTGTCTTTTGCGTGCTACATTTATATGTTTAGAGAAAAACATAGATGATTTCATAGGACTTATAGATTGACCCGACATCAGTTCATATGTTTTTAAAAGACCAAGTAGCTTCACAATTGATTTTTTCCGTCCATTGGCAAAAATAAGTAAATCATCGGCATAAAATAAATGACTAACCATACATCCTCCGGAGTGAAAAGGCTGAACCTGATTGCTAGCATAAGCTTGGTTGATCATTCGAGACAAGATTTCTTGTGCCATAATAAACAAGTAAGGTGACAGCGGATCTCCTTGGCGTAAACCCCTCGACGGCTTGAAAAAACCCCGAGTCTTACCATTAATCATGATAGAGTAGAATGGGGAGGAAATGCAATTAAAAATGAGGTTTCTCCACTGATCGGAAAACCCCAACTTCCGTAAGCCCTCCAAAAGAAACCTCCAATTAACTCTGTCGTATGCTTTCTCCATATCTATCTTCAATAAAATGTTTCCACCCCTCACCTTCTTATGGAAACTCTGCATCATCTCCTGCGCAATAGAAATATTATCAAAAATGCTCCTCCCTTGAATAAAAGCCGATTGTTCTTGAGAAATAAATTTGTTGAGCAATGGTGCCAACCGATTAGCCATGATTTTGGATAGAATTTTATACACCACTGGACAGAGACTTATAGGCTTGAATTTTATACTAGTTACACAGAAAAAGACGTATGATCAAATTGCTTGATCTCCAACCTATTATTTTGACAGTGCCAACTCTTTACCTTTTAGTTTTGTAGGTGAACCCTACACATGTTGATGTACCTGAAAATAACACTCCAAAAGCTCACATATCTTTCACAGCTCAGGAAACATGGTCTAATAAGAGGAATACAATTGCTAATTTAGTGTGGCTGATTATCTTCCCAATCAGAATATGGGAGTTGATTTCGATTGAATCTGTTTTATTTATTTATGTTCTTATGTAATGGACATAAACTTGATATAATTTCATATTTAGTTATTACTTAAATTGAAGACATATAGATAGAATTTTCTCATGTCTCTATATAATGGTTGACATAAGGTTGCTAGATTTTTAAATATTGTAATTCGAATTTTTATTAATGGAAACATATTGTTGGCGTATATTTTTTACATGCTATTATGTAATGGTTGACCATAAACTTTTAATATTGCAATAGAAATTTCATGGCACATAATCGACAAAACTCTACGACGCCTTTTCGAGTTCCTAGACCAACCACCCATTTAGATGTAGAGGAAATAAGCTCAACCCAAGCGGATCCTAATTCTAGGACCCATCATGTATGTTGGAGTGATGCAATGGATGATTGTATGATAACTGCACTATTGCATCAGCTGTTAACTGGTCACAAAAGGAGTGACAATGGCTTTTCGTCATATCACGTGTCCAAAGCAATTGAGAGCGTGTACAACAGATGTGGAGTCATGGTGTCAGATAAGAATGTAAGGGCACGATTGCAGACATGAAGATAGACAAACGTGACATACTGCAAGTCATGAAAATATTTGAGTCAGATGAGAGTCAGGCTAGAGTATTTATGAGTTTGACTGATAAAGATTTCATGCGTGATTTGGTATATGGGAAGCTTGGCCGTGATCCACCTCCGCCACTTTAGGATGGCATACTTAGATAATTCAACAACCATATGTAAAAGTGTGATATCTATATTTGTTTAAATTACTACTTTCTAACAATAAATATTCATTGAACTTTATTAGTTTATGGCATTTTTTTGGGAGGCAAATGTTCCTAGATTGGTTAAAGCTCAATTTAGGTGGCGGATTGAGTGAAGCATTATTTTAAATGGTTTTAAAGTTGTAATAATGGAATCTCTTTATATTTTTCTTGTTGGATTTTTTTATTAGAGTATACATTATTAATGCTTGTTTTGTTATTACAAATGCATGTTGCTACCATAATGCACCGTTTAAAATGCAGATGAAGGGGATACTTGGGTTTTTTTAACTTATAAATGGTCTGTACATAATACTTTTGTTATTTTCAATTTATTTTTAAAAAAATTACATTAAAAAAAATCAATTGGTTATTAAATGTTGAATACATATATGATAAAAGTTGATGAAATTTAATTAATTAGTAAATTTGCCCAGGTTTGTTTTTCTTGATTGAACAATTTTCGTGGAAAAAGTGAAGTTTCATGGAAAATAATTGCTATCAAACAACAAATGTTGGAAAAACGACCATTTCCTTGAAAAATAATAACTATCAAACTTCTAAATATGAAAAAGTACAATATTTTAAAAATTAAGTCAATCAAACACAATCAAACGCAATCAAATGTTTTTAAATGACAATTTCTACGTAAATAATTTTTCGACAATCCAATTGCCTAGAAAATATTCTTTCAATGTAAATTCCAGCTTGCAATCAACAAGAGCCTAAGCTCTCCATTTTCCACACACATTGTGCTTCCACTTGCTTCTTTTAATTACTTTTAAAACATAGAGTGAATTGTTTTTGTGGGGTAGGTGAATTGTGGGTTTTAAGTTATTCATAGTACTGAGATGGGGAAGGTGGCGGCGGCGGCAGCGGTGGTGTGTACGGCGGCTGTATGTGCCGCAGCTGTGCTGGTGATGAGACACCGGATGAAGAGCTCCGGGAGATGGGCCAAAGCGGAGGCCATTTTGATGGAGCTGGAGGAGAATTGTGGGACCCCAACTGGTAAGCTCCGGCAGGTGGCTGACGCCATGACTGTTGAGATGCACGCTGGCCTCGCCTCCGAAGGCGGCAGCAAACTTAAGATGCTCATCAGCTATGTTGATAACCTTCCCACTGGGTATGCATAATTGATTCTTGTTTGGTGTTTGACTCGATTTCTTTTGTGAGTACTATCAGGTCTTTAGGATAAAAACTTTGAACTTGGAGTGTTTTCTAATATTTGTTATGTTTGAGTAAATTCAGCTCCCATATGAATAAATCTTGAAGTTTAGTTGCTATAAGGACTTGTTTGGAATGCACTATGAGACTGGATTGGACAATACACTGGATAAGATTTAGCTACTTTTTCTTTGTTAATATTGTCAAGTATGGTCCAATTCGCCCTATCCAACATGCCAGTGTAGGGTCAGCTCATTTATCACTAACTTGCATCACATCATTTCTTGATGCTTATATCTACGATAATATTAATGCAAGATGTGGTTGCACAGGTGAAATTGGTTATTGAATATGAAACTTTATTTTCATGATTAGGGAAAAAAATTTAGCCCATTTTTTCAAAATATGTTCATATTTTCATAGTATAGATTTGACTTTATTGTAAAATGGTGATTTTTATCGTGGTTATGTTATGCATTGATGTTATTCCGTAGAGAAGTTTTAGTCAATGGCTGTGGATGTGGATTGTCTGAAATAGCCTTTTTAACCATCATATGGATGTTTCGAAGACACTGATGATATGATACATGCTTTGATATTGGTGCATTAAATTGGAACTTTTTACATTTTAAGGCATATTCTGATTTCAGTTAAAGGTTTTGGTTGAGTTGAGAGTTCACTTGCTTTGTGGTAATCTTATGCTACCAGACAATTGTCGACTTGTCGTTCTCTTTAAACTCTAAAGATTCTTTGTACTTTATTCAATGTCCGTTGTGTATGTAACTAGGGGTCTTTCCTATTTCTGAATCTTCTGTTATGCCTTTCTTATTGAGTCAACCTTTAAATACACGACTTCTTTCATATCTTCACCTTTTGGCATGTGAGCGCCGCCTTATGCCTTGTGCATCTTTTACTTCTTCTTCACTTCTCCTCTTCTTGGGCTCCTTATTGGGTTCGTTTGTATGTTTCTTTACCTCCTCATATATTAAAAACCATTTAGCATCTCTCTTTTTTTTTTTTTTAATTCTGACTTGATTTGCCGAATTGTCAAACATAGCAGTGACTCAAAATTTGAATACTAAGTGACCTGATTTTGTTGCATAATCTAACACTCTCATACTTTTGCTCATACCTCCTTGTAATCCTATTGGGCATGATTAGCCCCTCAAAGAATGTCAGCACTTTTTCCAAATTAAAGCACTATCAGATTTCAGTACTTTATAAAAGTACCATTTAGAATTTTGCCCTTAATTATCAACCCATACGTGTGATATCATTACTCGGAGTTAGCTTTTCATTGTTTTTTTTTGTTGGAAATGTTTTAGACTATCAAGTCAAACGTGTGGCTAAATAGTTCAGTTATTGTTGTACCTCATTTTGTCCTAACTGTGATCATCATTATAATATATCAAAATATTCTATGGTTGGACATCATGAATGTTGTGGTTGTTTTGCCGTTTTAGTTTTTGTTTTAACAGTGACTTGGACCTTGTAATTTCGTTCTGGTATTAGTTCTACAAAACGCTCAGTACAAGTTTGTTTGAAGTAGCAAATTGAAATGGATCACCTGGTTGTCAGATAATGGAAGTTGGCAGAGTGATCTCATGACGGCCGTATAGTAATCTGTAACAAATTGGTTCGAATTGTCCTCTCTTCTGAGAAGGTCTTTCATTATATAAGCAAAATTAACAAGCATACAAGGAAACTTAAGCTATACCTATACATACTAATTACATAGAGTGATTTTAGGGAGCTATATTTGGTAAGCTATATATGGTAAGCTAAATCTCTTCTCATATTTACAGCCTAGATTAATGAGTCAATTACAGATTTTATGCCTCTGTTATGTTATACAACATCATTATTGCTTTCTATTGACATCCCCCTCAAATTGATGCGGGTTTATCGATCAGCATCAATTTGTTTGTAAGAATATTATGTCGTTGCCGTGTAAGAGCCTTAGTGAAAATATCTGCTACTTGAAGATTGCTTGACACATGGGGAGAGAAATAGTCTGAGCCTCAAATGCTTCACGGATGAAGTGGCAATCCACCTTGATATGTTTAGTCTGTTCATGAAAGATATGATTGGCTGAAATGTGAATGACACTAGTATTATCCACATTTAGAGAAGTAGGACCACATGGAGTAAATCCAAGCTCACCTGGTAGACCACAGAGCCAATGTATCTCAGCATAAGCTTGTGACATTGCCCGATGCAAAAATGTAAACAAACACTTTACAAGGGCATTTTAACAAACACTTGATAGGCATGACTAAGAAATAACATCCAAAAACACCCATGAATTGTGTGAAAGCCCCAAACATCACAAAGGATCATGAAAATTGCAAGCATAATGAAAATTGCAAACACCCATGCATTGTGTGAAAGCCCCAAACATCACAAAGGATCATGAAAATAAAGCACTACCTAAACCCAACCTCCTAAAGATGCATAGCATGATTCAAAAGAATTGCAAGAAAAATGCCAATAGAAGCTAAGTAGAGATATAGCCATTTTACCTTTGAATTCTTGATAATTAGTGGTTGGAAGTCATGAAAGATGGTATATTGATTAAGGAAGACAATTAAACTTGAAGACCCAAGAATTTATGGAGATAGTTCATGGGCTGGGGGGAAGGGAGGATTGGGGGCATGTGAAGGGGGAAGGAAACAAGAAAAGAAAAAAAAATTGAGGCTGAAACCGGGTTGAGGCTCCTCAACCCCTCCTCACCCGATTATGAGGAGAGCCAATTTCTCACGAAGGCGTGCGCCTCGCTTGTGGGACGAATTTAAATACATCAATACACTATAATTAAGTCTTATTCCCTGTGAGACGATAACTTTATCATCAAGATTATTACTTGTACAACGAACTCGTACACTTGCAGGATTTTAACGTAACACCCTATATTCGGACTCAGTAGAGGACTTGGAGACACGGTCTTGTTTCTTGCTTTTCTAGGGAATAAGAGATGGGCCAAAAAAATACACGAGTCAGTAGTAGAATGTTGAGTATCACTACGTTCGGCGTAATCAGCATCACTATATGCGACGAGATCAGGTGAAGTACCTGCAGGGTAAAAAAGTCCCTGCAAGGATGTGCCCTGAACATATCCCTGATGATTTTTCAAACTGCAGCCATATAGAGGTGTCGAGGAGAAGCCATTTAATGTCTAACTTGTTGGACTGCATAAGAGATATCGGGTCTAGTGATTGTAAGATAGACCAAGTTGCCAACAAGAATACGATAGGCTGTGTAGTCTGGTAACAGGTTACCCACTTCTTTGCGTAGTTTTTGAGATTAACTTCCATGGGATTATGAAGAGGTGTAGAGTCCTGGAAACCAGCAGCAACCACCAGGTCTCTGGCATAATTGTGCTGTGATAGAAAAGTACCCTGTGAACTAGCAGTAATTTTGAGACCCAGAAAATATGTTAGAGAGCCGAGATCCTTCATGCGAAAGAGAGTCCTTTAAATGTTGCTTTAATTGGGAAATCAGAATTGAATTGGTAACCATGACGATTATGTCAACCACATACACTAAGAGAACTACAATACTAGTTTCAATTTTGCGAATAAATAAAGATTCCTCATACTTGCTTTTAAGAAAAGTAAACTTGAGTAGGGTAGAGGTAAATTTCTCATACCATGCATGGGCTTGCTTGAGACCATACAAGGAATGACATAACTTGCACACTGCAGAAGTAGGGGTGGAAAGTAAACCGGCTGGAGGACGCATATAAATAAAACCGGCTGGAGGACGCATATAAATATCTTCATTGAGATCTCCGTAAAGAAAGGCAATCTTCAATCCATTTGGTGCAAACCCTAATTTTGAGAAGCAGCAATAGCCAATATAGTGCGGATAGTGGTCATCGTAATTCACACCATATTCTTGATTATTTCCAAGAGCTACTAAGCGGGCCTTATATTTGTCTAAATTGCCATCAGATTTGACCTGAATAGAATCGACCTACTTACATCCAAGTGGAGTCACGCCTACGGGACAATCTACCACTTCCCAAGTCTCATTAGCTTCAAGAGCACATAGTTCCTCTTGTATGGCCTGCTGCCCGCATTTTTCTTTAACTGCCTGTAAGTAACTAGTAGAAATAACAATAGAGGATATAGCGGCTGAGAGTGCAGAATTACGGGTACTTGCCATAAGAAACTCAAATCCATAACGGTCAAGAGGACTAGGTACTCTAGAGGAGCAACACAAGAGAGCAGATGGTAAGGCAGGAGTAGAAGGGCTGGAAGTCTTTGCTTATATACCACACCTGACTTGTACCTTTCAACCTGAGTATTAGAAGTACCAGAGGTGTAATAAAAAAAAGGTAAAAGAGAAAGAGAAGGCTTCCGTAATGAAGACATAGGAAAGAACCATTGATTTTCACAAAAGAGCACATTCCTTGAAACACGAACCCGATTAGAGTTTGGATCATAGCATAAATACCCTTCTTGTGCGACACTATATCCCAAGACCGCTCAAGGGATGTACTGAGCAGAAAGCTTGTTTCTGTCTGGTAGAGGAAGATGCACAAGACATACATACCCAAAAGTGTGAAGATTTGAGTAGGTAGGATTGTGATGATGAAGCCTAAAATATGGAGACCGGAAATCTAGAACTTGGGAAGGGAGTCTATTGATAAGAAAGGTTGCTGTGGCAAGTGCTTCTACCTAAAACTTTGGAGGGACAGAAGACTTAACCATTTTGTTGTAGAGTATATGGACGAGCGTTGAGAGATAATACCTCTATATTGCAAGAAAGATTGGAACTCATGAGATAGATATTCCCCACCCGAGTCAGATCGAAGAGTTTTAATAGTGGCTGAAAATTGGGCGTCAACAAGAGCTAAGAATAGTTTGAACATAGGAAAAACTTCTGATTTGTGCTACAAGGAATAAACCTATGTATATTTGCCGTAGTAATCTATAAAAATCACAAAATATTTGTATTGACCATTAGAAATGATAGGACTAATACCCTAAACATCACTATGAATTATCTCAAATATGTAAATTGCTCTACTTCCTTCAGAAGGAGAAGGTAACGTCTTAATTTTGCCGAGTTTACAAGTTGCACAATCAGGAAATATAGTGGAAGAAGAATGCTCTTTATTATGTAATAGACTAGATTTCAATAAATAAGATAGAACCCTAGAATTAGGATGACCAAGACACTTATGACAGACTTCATTTAATACTTTATACTCATTACAAAGTACGGGCAGGACTGAGGAAGATAAGCTACGTGGAACAGGTAGTTGTAGAGAAAAGAGACATCCATACTTAGGCTCCTTCGCTATCAACCTATGATGCTCGGACTCGGGTACGGGTATCGGGTACGGGTATGTATCTAAGCGTCGGATCCATTATTTTCTAAAATATAGGATACGGAGATATGACTAAAAAGAGTCCAAATTTTGGACACGGGTAAGTTGGTACGTCTTTCAAACTTCAATTTTTTTTATTAACTCAAGATGTCATTTTAAATAGATTAAAATCAATCATTCAAAAAGAAGGAAATGAATATTGAATAAGGGATTAAAACGAATAAAATTGAATTTTGGGGGTTTAATTTTCAGTAATGGAAAGTTGATTACTAAATGTTATATAAAATAGAAAATGAGGGACATGATTACAATTTAAACTTAATGGAACACTAACTGGAACCCATTTTCATTCCATACAAAGAACATCCTAAACTATCAATATAGAGAGGAAAGAAGGAAAAAAAAAAAAGAAGAAAAGGCAAAGAGAAAAGATAGAAGAAAAAGAAGGGAAAACCTTGTGCCGTCGCCGAATAAGAAAAGGGGAAGGGAAAAAAAAAGAAAGAATGAAAAGAAAAAAGCAGAAACGGCGAAGTGTCTTGTTGAAACTTAGAGGATCCTACACATATCCCCTACCCATACCCATTTCGTATCGTGTCCAGCATGAGTATTTCATCCATTTAGAAGAGTCCGAGCATCAGATACAACCATCATTAGTAAAATGTACACTATAGTTTTGGTCCACAAGTTGACTGACAGATACTAAATTCACAAAGAGTTTTGGTGAGACCAGAACATCATTAAAGTTAGAAGATACATCACCAACTGCCTCAATGGATAGGGCACTACCATTAGCTGTTTGAATATGTGAGGAGCCAACATATTTTCTGATATTACTTAATCCATGGAGAGAATTAGGCATATAATTAGAGGCACCTGAGTCTAAGATCCAAATAGTAGATGAAGAACCATTACCTTGAAGACCAAATGCTGAAAAAGCACTCACGATCATTTCTTGCATCGTCTCTTGAGTTATAATAGGTTCTGGAGGCTGTAAACTAACATCAGACGTTGTAGCATCCACATTAGCAGCAGAATTAAAAGCAACATGATAAGCCTTATTGGAACGCGAGGGACGAATAGGACACTCCTTAATAATGTGCCCTGACTGCTTTCAGTAGTTACAAACTTTCTGAGGAAGGTGAAGAGCAATATGGCCATACTTCTTACAACTATAGCACTGTGTGGGGCTCATATCACGGCCCTTTCCCTTGCCATGTGTAGCATAGGCAATTGAGACAGTATTAGAAGCAACACGTGCCTGCTCCATAATATTTTGAGTATTTAGACGTTGTTCCTCACTCAAGAGTTCTCCAAAACATGCCTCCAAATGTGGAACAGGATCTCTGTTTACTAGAGAGGCATGAACAGATTCTAAGTCAGACCGCAATTTCATCAGAAATTGGTCTCTTTGTGGCTGGTTTTGTGTATCCAATCCTGCCTCCAATACTTCTGCAGAGACTTTGGCTGTAACAAGGTCTGGATAATCATTCGACAAAGTCAGAAAACCAAAGTAATAATCTTGAATGGATAGGTCTCCTTGGGTATAGTTAGCAATAGCCAACTCAAGCAGGTAGCATTGTTGTCTTGGTTATAGACTTGCTTGAGATAATCCCACATGGCCTTTGCAGACCTATGAGGATGCAGAGAAAGAATCAGATGTGGTGCCGTAGAACCAAGAATCCACGACATGATCTGGTTATCTTTGGCAGCCTAAGTTGCCTTGTTAGCAGCAGCAGATCCTCCTTTGCTGCTCCCATCTATATGACCTCAGAGCTGTTTACCTTTGGGAAATGTTTTTAGTTGAAAGCCAGTAAATCTGACACAAATATTATCCGACTTCTCCATAATTTTTGAGGCTTGACTGAGAAAAAACTAAGAATAATATTTCTTAGAATATTGCTCTGATACCATAACAAAATGGTTCAAATTGTCCTCTCTTCCGAGAAGGTCTTTCATTATATAAGCAAAATTAACAAGCATACAAGGAAACTTAAGCTACACATGCTAATTACATATAGAGTGATTTTAGGGGGCTATATTTGGTAAGCTATATATGGTAAGCTAAATCTCCTATTTTACAGCCTAGATTAATGAGTCAGTTACAGAATTTATGCCCCTGATATGTTTTACAACATAATTATTGCTTTCTATCGACAATGAGGTACAAACGCTGGAAACATTAGTCAGTGAAAAAACTAGGAACTGTCGTCATAAAATATTCTATATCCCCCCATGATCTTGGGGTCAGGAAACCTTTTCTGGATTGTTGTGCCTTGGTTCTATCTGACCCTGGACTAAATTTATGTGAATAAGTAAATGTTAATTCTCTGCTTTTCTTCATGGAGAATAAGAATTCACTTTTCATGATTGTATTCCTCAATCTTTTCTGTTTCAGGGATGAAGGAGTATTTTATGCATTGGACCTAGGTGGCACAAACTTCCGAGCCCTTCGGGTGCAGCTTGGTGGAGAAGAAAGACGTGTTATCAAAAGAGAATCCGAAGTATGTTCAATTCCTCCACATTTGATGGTTGGGTCATCTCATGTAAGTGTACTCAGCCTTTCTTTCAGTTTTAAATGTTGTTTCAATTGTTCTTATGCTGTGTAATTCTGTTTCATGGCGATTCCAGGAATTGTTTGATTTTATCGCTGCTGCACTTGCAAAATTTGTTGCAACAGAAAGTGAAGACTTTGTTCTTCAACCTGGCAGGCAAAGGGAGCTGGGTTTTACCTTTTCTTTCCCAGTTAGGCAAATATCGTTGGCTTCTGGAATTCTTATAAAGTGGACAAAAGGCTTCCTTATAGAAGATGCAGTTAGTTTCGGACCTTAGCTTTTTCCTTCCTTCTTTTTCCCTTTTTGTGTTTATTAGTCTATTATAATGATCTATGCAGAAGGTATACCTAGTGAACTTGGGTTCTGTGAAATGGAATAAACCATAAACAAAAATGAAATCAGAAAACTATCAAGGAACACAAAAATCTAGAAGAAGTTCAAAATAGAGATTTCACACCTTTCAGTCTTTTTGTCTCTCACACTTGACACATTACAAAAGTGGATCCTAATGCAAAAAAGTGAATGTCCCTGTGTGCCCTAGGGCGGGTTTGATCTGCGTAACCTTTTCCTTGCATGCAGAGTCTCTCTCATTCAATATCAAGGACGTCAACTGAACTCGTGTGGTTGAATAATTGAAACAGATAATTCTTATTGAGTTGCACCATTCTTATTCTTGTGCTATTTTCTGCCCATCTTTAGCCCTTGTTTGTCTCCCTTTAAAACAAAATTCTTTAATCTCATACTCATTTTCAACTATACATTTACACAATAAAATATTTTGCACGTAAACCAAAGACTTTTCCTACTTTTTAACCAAACATTCTCCAAAAAAATCACTATTCAAAACTCCATTTTTTCAAAATAATGGCATCAAACAGGAGCTTAATATTAAAGATAATGACAATATTTTGCGTGTTTTGGGGGCAAGCAAAGTGCTACTAATATAGAATAAGACATTTAGGGCCCACAAATTCGATTTAGAAGTTTGTAATTCATCTTTTTTTCTTTTAACACAACCATGGTGACTTTTCGTGTCAATGAATAAATAATTTATCTCTGTAGCACGGACACTTCAATTAGGATAGCGTGTCCACAAGTCGATATCGACACTTCTCNAGTCGATGTCAACTCTTCTCGAACACTCTACCGTAATCATTTTTCTTTTTGTATTAGAAATATTATATAGTGTTAATTCAAAATTATTAGCAAGTAACAAATAGATACACATGTTTAAAAGATTTCAACAAGAAAACTTAATAACAAATATAAAACTAAATTTATACTATATAAATGAAGAATTTTTAAGAATTTAATCAACATGTCGATAACGTGTCGTGTCGTACTTTTTTTAAAAATCGCGCGTCTGACACATATGTTCCTGTCGGTGCATCATGGATAATTTAATAATTTATTACATCCCTATTGGTAATTGTGTTAACAAGATGACTGGGAACGGTCTTTCTCTGTCTCTCTTACACCCCCTCTCTCTTTGACGGTAGTGATAAATGACTTGGCACATCATCCTTGCTAACTAAGTTTTAACAGTTTTTACCGTTATTGGTCAACTAATGATATGACCATTTTATGATGCATGGTATGTTTCTATCGTGCGTTTCAGAAAACTGGTTAATGTTAGGTTTGCTTTCTGAGTGTGAATCAATTCGTTTGCTTGATTAGTGTAAAACAGTACCGTGGTGCCTGTGCTTACTCATGATTTTAATTTATAAAAAGTTCTAGATAATTACTAGTAAGTGGAGATAACTGAATTTTAGGTAAGAATAGGTCATTTCTATTACACATTCCTCAGTAGTCTATCTGGCGACGACTGTCCTTTGAATACTGCTTCTCTTTTAACTATAAAGTCTACTACGTAAAGAAAATGATTTGAGGCTCTCTCTCTCTCCCGTCGCTATGTATTTGTGGGTTTGAATTATCTTACTGCCTGATTCTTAATTTCATCACAGAACCCGTGTTTCTAATTTTATGTCTTCTAGTTTACTTGCCATCTCCTAACGACTCAGAAAATTTTTTGTATTAAATTCTAATGGTTAATTGCTGGTGCTGAATAGATTTGTGGTTACCATCTTTGTGTGCTCACTGACCTAAGGATTAGACATATTTATTCACAGGGTTCTAATGCTCCAATGTATTTATTATTGACGGTTTTAAATAGATAGGACAAGATATTGTCAAAGAGTTGACTAAAGCAATGGAAAGAGTTGGCCTTGATATGCATGTGACTGCTTTGGTAAGTCATGATTTTTCACTCTTGAAAGTTTTCTGCTTTCACCTTGCTTGTGCATTACAATATTTTTGATAAAACATATTTTACTTTATCAAGATTTCTTTTACTTGTATTTATCTGAGCATTCCCAAAGTACTTTGTTTGGCTAAATTTAATGGTTTACCTTCAAGTAAATAAGTAATTTTTTTTATTTGTAAAATCAGAAAATAATTGAATTACTTATTTTAACACTAAATATCAGAATTACTTTTCGAAAGTAATTCTTTTTTAATTAAAAACTAAGAAAAATGAGTTATCTGAACATGTTTGGAAACACAAAGTTACTTGTATCTTGTACTTCTTTTTAAAGTAATTTTTACTTCTTTTTGATCTTAACCAAACATGCTCAAGAGAGCAGTGAAGATTGAACTCAGGACCAAAATCTTGATCCGGCCTGGCTTTTAGCCAAACATTTACATCATATGTTAACTGGCAGAATAACTAATAAAGTAAAACTTCAATCTCTTGCTCGGGGTATGCAGGTCAATGATACGGTTGGAACATTAGCTGGAGGACGATACAACAATCCTGATGTGATTGCTGCAGTGATATTGGGTACTGGAACCAATGCCGCATATGTAGAACGGGCAAATGCTATTCCGAAGTGGCAAGGTCTACTTCCTAAATCTGAGGAAATGGTTAGAAGCTCCATTCTTCTTTCATATATTGTTATCTAAAGTTGATTAAGGCTTCAATCGTCCTTTCATCATTGATCATCCCTCCCTTTATGCTTCATCAGTCTTCACCTGCTGTTTATGAGCCATGCATAGACATCATATTGATGTATTTTATTAACTAAAGTTTACTTCTCTTGTGCGGGTTATAAACATGGAATGGGGTAACTTCCAATCATCACATATCCCGTTAACAGAATATGATCAAAGTCTTGATGCTGAAAGTTTAAACCCTGGCGAGCAGGTCATTTCTGTAGCTTGCTCTTTCTACCTCTGCCAGGTTTTATGTCTGATCTCTCCCATAACTTGTTGCTGCAGATTTTTGAGAAGATAATTTCTGGCATGTATTTGGGAGAAATTGTACGTCGAGTGTTGTGCAGGATGGCAGAAGAAGCATCTTTTTTTGGCGAAGACATCCCGCCAAAACTGAGAAATCCATTCATATTAAGGTGAGTAATGATGGTGATGCTGGCAGGATTTTAGAATCTCAGTATAGCATCTAATCTCATTACTGATACATACAATGGTAAACGAAGTTAGGCTTATCGCCTGCCATCAAACTTGTGAAGCTACATAATTTTAATCAGCCTTATTTTTACTAAAAGGTCCAAAGAATTTGCACTCACATTGGGATGATCCACATCAAATCTTTCGCATTTCTCTAGTGAACATTCTACAGGTTTACACGAGAGATCCCAACTATCCAAGTCTTTGTAGGATAATTGTTTCAATATCGAATATCAGATTTACAGACTGGATATCGTATAATAAACTGTACATATAACAAATCCAACGATTTGTTGATTGCAGCAAAAAATAACAAGTAATTTAAATAATTACAAAAAGAACAATATGCAAATCGAGTAAAAACAAATAAAACTGTATAACACTTTTAACTCGAGGCCTGTGTCAAACACANTTAACATAGGAGTTTCAGAAGTTTTGGAAAACCAAAAGTCTGTTGAAAATTAACAAAAATGTAGCAAAATGTGGACACTCCTAAGGGGCCAATTTTGCTCCTTTCAGTCCGACATTCGTGTACGCAGATCGCGCCCGCACACAAGTTCAAGGTTCGAAGCCTATTTTGGTCCAAGATTTGCACCCCTCCTGCGCGCGCACGTGGAGAGAGCCTCTATGCTACACATGATTACACCACTCTAAAGTGTAATCCTTTATAAAGTGGTTTTAGTTTTCATCCACTTCCTATGTGGAACAAATCTTAACTTTTTTTTTTTTTAGTTTTCCCACCAACAAACTCCTTTCACATGGTATACTTTGAGCTTCAATTTTTCATTCACCCGAGTATCATTTTTGACAAGTAAGCATATGATTTCGATGTACTCACGGAGGAGAACACAAATCAACTTCCATCTTTCGAAATAGTCAACCGGGGCCCGCTCAAAATTAGTGCCAAAACTAGCCACACATCTTAGTTTTTCCAACAGTCTTCGTACCCTCAATTTCTCCATTATTTGTGTCTTCTCCACTCTCTGGCATATTTCTCATTTTTAATTTGTCCCTTTTAGCATGACCAAATATCCATCTTAACATCCTCATTTTCAGATGCATTCATCTTATGCACATTTTTGTCATTTAATGGTCCAACACCAGGAACCATAAACCATAGTTTTAATAATGGTATATAGGATGCCTTATATCTGCCAATCACAAATCCTTATAATACTACTACGTTACGACTAAGCAATTAAATCATTTGTAATATAGATGCTGAGAGAAAACTGCTACCACGCAGGATCCCTGACATTGCGGCAATGCATCATGACACTTCTGCTGATCTCAAAGTGGTTGGGAGCAAATTAAAGGATATCTTGGAGGTAAAATAATTTGTATTCATCGTGAAGCATGGTTGTATAAATGGTCATCTATGTCTTAGTAGGGCTAGCAAATTTTAATATATTTGATAGCATTTCGTCTACTATGTTGTCTACGAGAAATTGAAGTCATCAGCTAGTGCAAAAACCTAATGCAGTTACACATTCTTATTTTTCTATGTGACAGATACCTACTTGTTCCTTAAAAATGAGGAAAATGATTGTGGAGATATGTGACATTGTTGCCACTCGTGGGGCCCGTCTTGCGGCTGCTGGGATCTTAGGAATTCTCAAAAAACTGGGACGAGATACTGTGAAAGAGGGAGGGAAGCAGAGGTCAGTGATTGCCTTGGATGGTGGATTGTTTGAGTGCTATTCTGAATTCAGGAATTGTCTGATGAACACTCTTAAAGAGCTCCTGGGTGAAGAGGTTTCAGAGAGTGTTACCGTTGAGTTTTCCCATGACGGCTCTGGTATTGGAGCTGCACTCATTGCAGCCTCTCACTCCCAGTACCTTGAAATTGAGGAGTCCTAACGCCGGTCACTGTCAGAGTGAGTTTTGACAATCTGATATGAAAAGCTTCGCGATAAAGTATTTTATATTTTCTTGTCTCCTCGTCTTTACTTCATAGAAATGATAGTCTTTCCATCACCTAGTTCAGGACAGCGTTCTCACATATTCTTGATTTATGGTCATTGGGCACTAGTGTAAGATCATTTTGTGAGGAAATAAGAATAATGTTGGGATTCAGATGATTTGCATCTTTCCATTTGTTACTTGTCTTTGAACATTCTCCTTGTGTCTTAGATTCCGAATATGCACTTAGATTCCGAATATGCATAGCCCCTCTTTGCTTCAACTAAAAAGTTATATTAAGGCCTTGTTTGATTGGTGTTATTTTCCCTAGAGCTAAGAAAATGTTTTCCACTTTCCAACCTTTTTGATGTTTGATAGGAGAAGTTTTCCATGTAAAATGTTTTCTCACTTTGTGTGGCACGTGCACATTTTCTTGGAAATGGAAGAAAATCATTTCCCACCTTTTAGGTGGGTTTTGATTATCAGGTTCTGATAATTTTTTTTTTTTTTTGACAATTGAAAAAAATTCTAGATATAATGGTAAAAAAATTTATCACATTTATTGACAATTTTCATGCAAAACAAAGCCAAAAGAATGGTATTCGGTATGTTATTTTTTTTGGCAATTGGAACAAATGCTAGATCCAATGGTAAAAAAAAATTATCACGGACAATTTTCATGAAAAATAAAGCCAAACGGACATTGAACTTTCAACATTTTCCAGGTGGAAAATTATACCAATCAAACACGATTAATTACAATTCCTAGTAAAACAATTTTTAGGCAATTCAATTTCCTGTAATTCATTTTCTTTCCACTCAAATTCCACTCTTCATTTGCTGTCATTCAAGGCATTACCTAGTCACAAACATATAAGGAGGACACAAAAAACGGGAGAAACCGAGAGGACAGTAATGGTGGAATTCAACATTTTCGAGGTGGAAAATTATACCAATCAAACACGATTAATTACAATTCCTAGTAAAACAATTTTTAGGCAATTCAATTACCTGTAATTCATTTTCTTTCCATCCATTTTTCACATTTACAATCAAACGGTCCCTAAGGGAATTGCTATTAGATTAATGACTGCTACTTAGAATTTGTATGATGGAGTTAGTCGCGGATGTGAGATGTAATAGCGGTACCAGAGCAGAGTGATGGAAAATAATAAACATATTTAGGAGAAGTAAGTAGTTTACATATTTTTTGTTTTGATTTGATTAAAATTAGATTAGATTTATATTGAAAAGACCTTCATCTGATTAAATTTATTATAAATTCCCTTCAGTATAACTTATTTACAAATTAATTAAAAGAATAAAAGAGAATCAGGTATTCAGTTTGCACCCTGCAGACAACTTTGAGAATTAATTAGAATTACATTTCTTACTTGTGAATTTATCTTGCTTTCTTTCTTATCTCTTTCCCTATTGTACTTTTATCTTTCACGTTCTGTATCTTATCTCACAACCTTTTTCTCTCTACTAATTCCTCTTCCCCATTTGCATCTCAGAGGATTTTCTATGATTGTAGTCCTGCATGAATGTTCAGTCTTAAGTTATTTTCTTTTTTTTTTTCGTTTATTACTTTAGTCCTTGTTGGATTCACACGATTCATCCAAGATGCCTTGATTCATGTTATTTGTTGATAACATAGTTTTAGTTGACGAGAGTAGGAGGTTAAACGATGAGTTACAATTTGGGAGTCTGGAATCTGAAGGTTTTAAAACTAAGAGACAGACGGTATATGAAATGTCATAATAGTTATAGTAGAAACAGGATATTTATGGGGTCACTATAGAGGATCGTGTTTGTTTTTAGGTATTTAGATTTGATTATTAACAAGAAAGGAGCAATCAAAGAGGATGTAAAGCTTTATTTGGATGAAATGGAGAAATGATATAGGAAGGAATTATGTATGATTGAAGGATTCTTGCAAGGTTTAATGGTCGATTCTACAGAATATATGTTAAAAACTTGCTATATTTTATGTACCAAGAGTTGATTGTTGGGGACAAAATATCTACAGGATGAATGAAGTGATAATGAGGATATTTCCACCTTGGAGGTGCCTAATGAACATCATATGGGAAATAATACTGGTAGGGTACAACGTGTGCACATTAGCAAGAGGGGTGGGGGCGTGACATATAATTAATCATTATTTTTGGAGATTATTGTTTTAATCTAACTCATTATGATATAAGTTGGAAGGCGAGCAGTGTGTTGGGAGTTAAGAATTGCATTACATATACACTTTTGTGGTGTTGCCACTTTGTTGCCACTTAAGGTTTGTTTCATTGTTGGATGTTTATGTGCCATCGAAGGACCCTTTATTTGTGAGCTATCAGATATTCTGTGGCATTGTTGTTTTATTCTAAATGTGTCCATGAACTTGTAGAAATATCAATAGTTTTAGAAACATATAGTTGTGCGCCTGAGAAGTTTTTAATTTCATATATTCAAGTGCTATTTGTATTTGAGCTCAAATGAACCTAGCCATTTAACTAAGACCGAAATCTGAACACATATATCCCCAAGCTGAGCAATTGGTTTAAGTACATATCATAATCTGATTTTGCTTTGCTCTGTCTCTTGATTGTCTGTGATGTGGGAATAACATATAAGCTTTGTCCTTTGTGTTAGTACTTTGTTTTTTCCTTTGTCTATGAAATAAATACAGTACAAGGCTGGATAGAGGAATAGAATAGAATGAGGATATTAGTGTTTTGTCTTGCATAGATTTAACAGGTTTTACCTACGAGAATCTCAGACGGGAAATATGTAATCATAATTAGTATGGATTAATTTTATTTGCATCTTTGGATAAATATACAGGACTTGTTCGGTAGCAATTAAAATCCAATTAAATTTGAAAATATAGCCGTTATTGGGTCTCACTCGTATAACAAAAGTCAACAATAACGGCTAGTTTTTCAATTTTAATCCGATTTTAATCTCTACCAAACATACCAACAATAGTTTTGCTAGATGGTAGTCTTTAATGTTGGATTGTCTTATTTTCTTGAATGATGCACCTTGTAAGCATCAGTTGCGAGTACATGTGGAATGGTAGCTAATGAAGGTAAGATTACAGATACCTTTGTATGATTACTAAGCCATGTACATTCAGAATTGTTCTCGCTCTGCCTATGCCTTTATGCTGTAATAATAGCATCAGATCCGTCTGGTGGCATTTTTCTTGTGTAAGATTGAAGAATAATATTATTGTTATCTAGCACCGATAGTGTTAAGAGCATCACTTGAGGTGACTATACTTGATATGTTCAATTAAACGAGTAATGTGGTATTGCATTTAAGTGAATTTTTTATTTAATGTCATGCAGTTACTATCCAAACTCGTGTTTGACAGCAGTGGTGTTTAATAGCTTCTCTTCAGGTCTTGTTTGGTAGGACTTTTGCTTTTGTTTTTACTTCATGTGAAGAGTTTTTGGAGGAAGCTATTTAATTTTTGTTTGAAAACTAAGCCTCCGTTTGGTCTTCGTTAAAATGTGTTTTCGTGGAATAATGTTTTTTGGAATAGTAATTTTTTGAAGAATGTGTGGTTAAAAAAGAAGGATTACTCGTAATATTATTTTATTGGAGAATGTATGGTTAGAAAAAAAAGAGAAAAATGTATTTTGGATAAAATAAAGTCCAAAGAGGACTTTCATTAAATTATAATTTATTTTTTTATCAATCGTACATTGTTCAATAAAATAATTTTTTATTTAAAATATTTTCCTTCTTTTCTAATCATACGTTCTCCAAAAAAAATTATTATTCGTCCCATTATATTAAAAGCATTTTTATTCTCCAAAAACTCAAAAAAAATTTCCTTCTTCTTCAATCACACATTCTCTAAAAAATTATTATTGTTCTCATAACGTGGAATAATGAGGGCCGGGAAAAAATTTCCTTCTTCTTCAATCACACATTCTCTAAAAAATTATTATTGTTCTCATAACGTGGAATAATGAGGGCCGGGATGTTTTAGAAGTACTTTTAGAGAAAGTCACATTTGATTATCTTCCTCTAAAAGCTCTTTAACTAGAAAAAGCACTTTCGTAAGATTAACCAAATAAGTTCAGACGCTATTTTTGAGTCTCAAAAATTCTTTTTAACTTCTAAAAAGTCATGCTAAACTGGTCGTGAATATCTTTGTGTAAATGTTGATGTTGTGTAGTACTGTCAAAAGTGGCCATGTTGAGCTTGGCATTACCGCCTGTTGGCCATATGCAGGTACATGCCAAAATAAATAAATAAAATTTGAATGTCCTAGTTCATCCACCTGTGACAAACTAATGAGCTTGACCCATCTCAAATACGGGTTAAGTGAAGGGAAAAATTCATAAATAAGGTGTATTCTTTACATCAATTCAAAAATCATGTTTATAGTTTGAAAATTCAAAAATCAGGTTTTTTTTTAATGAAATAATAAATTATTAAATCAATTTATTATTAAATATTTAATTCTAATATAATATAATTAACTCATTCTACATGCACCATCCATACCGCTCCGGGGACTATTCCGGCGACCATTCCGACCACCACTCTTCTCCTGCCACCGTTCCGGCAACTGTTCTGATTCCGACAATTATTCTGGCGGCTAATCTGGTGACCCTTCTAGTCACAGATTTACGATTTTCGATCACCGTTCAAAAATTTTATAGGTCACATTAATTCATTGGTCATAAATTTCAAAATTAGTTGGTCACAGATCAAAGTTTATAGGTCAGACAGTCTTATATTATATAATTTTTAGGTCACATATGAAAAAATGGTTGATCACAGATTATATTTTTAGTCACAGATTATAGAATTTTAAGGTCACAGATTATATTTTTAGTCACAGAAAACTCAAATCAACACGCCAACAACCACTGTCGCTGTCCTTCCTAGATCTACCGCTCCACCATCACCATACAACCTCACCGACACAACCCAAATCACCACTGCCAACAACCACCACTACCGCCCTACCTTGATCCACCGCACAACCATCACCACACTGTCAACCCCACAACTACACCAACACCACCTACATCCACACTCACCCACCACCACTGCGATTGAATGTCGTGCAGCGACTAAGATAGCGAGCGAGCTCACAGTCCGCCATAGCGACGCTCAGATCGAGGAGCCCAAAAACCACAACCACCTCCACTATTGCACTGTAGGAGATATTACATTTATAATGTGCATATTATATTAATCAAGAACATACCATGAAATCGAAATATTATTCAATTTACCGAAATCTGATTTGAGAAACAAAATAGTGATTACCGACTTCCAATATATAAATATGGATTCATCACTTTCCAATCTTGAACGCGTGTCATTCTTTAATTCAAACCTTGCATGAAATCAAAAGAATATTAGTTACTTTCCGAAATAAAATACTAAATTAGAATGAAATTGTAAAAGAAAGATGAGATGCAAATGATGCGATCGGTCGAGGTAAGTGTTTGACACTTTGTCCTTAAGATAAATTTGCCCCGCATCGGTGTTAACGGTTTCTCGACAATCATTTCTCAATATACAACGACCACGTCAAGCCATAGGAGCACTCCAAATGGCTTAGACTAATGAACTCGAACGGAGTTCCTTCTTTACCATAACAATGATTTTGATGCAAGAAATAATCACTTTTACAAAGTGGTTTATTCAGAACTAAAGTAAAACATGGAATGGAACGATATGGAACTATCAATTGAATTGTTCCTCTTTCTTGTTGTTCATCCAAATACATGGGGATCTATATATATAGTAGTTGGAACATCCATACCAAGAGACATATCTCTTGGAATTTAAATCTCTCCATAAAAAGGTACAATTACATCTCTACATAAAAAGACCATTATTGAAAAATAATGCCAAGAGTCATGATATCCAAGAGTCATGATCCATATGAAAAAACTCATCTTTTGATCTACTTATTCTCTAAAATATTCCACAATATTTTATACAATTTTCAACAATTTCAAGCATTTTAAGTTTGGCTTAATTTTTCATTCACCAAACAAAAAACTTTACTTAAATAATCACTTCAATTGGTCACAGCCAATTTCGAATTTTTCAACATGCACTACCAAAAGGTTACAGTATAATCTGCACAAGTGTAGGTGAAAGTGCTAGTAGGATCATCATAAGCGTAGTTATAAGATCTGGGACAAGCAGATTTGAACATCTGAGATGAAGCGGTGCTTAGATCCGTGATGCAAAACGTTGAAGCACACAAACCTGACCCACTGCACAGCGAAGCTCAGAGATGAAGTAGCGCTCGCTGCACAGCGACGAGCTCCACCTTGGTCTTCGATGACACAGGCAGCGTTACGGAGAGGTGGGGGGAAGTGAGGCAAGAGACACAGAGGTGAGGGAGAGAGGCGAGGGGAAGTGAGAAGAGGGAGAGAGAGAGAGAGAGAGAGAGAGGTAAGGGAGTTGAGAGTGATGAATTAGGGTTAGGGCTTTGATATATTATCTGAATTTTGAATAAATAAACTTTGGACCTGATATTTAGAAAATTATCTTTAAAGCCATGTTTTTTTATAATTTCCCTTAAGTGACCCTGAAGCTGGTTAGGTAAGTTCTCAATTGGCCCATAAGCATATTCTCTTGGGTTCTCAATTGGCCCATAAGCATATTCCAAGAGAATATACTTGTGCGCTTTTTACAGTACTAAGTGCAAGCAACGTGCAATGCACGTTTGCCTAGTTTATATTTAATAGTTTTGTTTAATAATTAATTTGTTATTAATAAAGATATAATTTTTTTGGTTAATTAAATAATTAATGATGTAATGTTTATGTAATTGTTAAATAATTAGATGTGTGATTTTGATATTGTGATTTAAGTTGGTGAGATCGAAGAAAATAAGCAAAAGTTGACAAATTTGGAGAAATGACTAAATTGTAAGGGATCCAAAGTTCGGGGACTAAAATGTAAATACTTAAAAGTTGTGCCGAACCTCACGATGAAGATTTGAGAGTGCTCGGAGTCAATTGGATAAAGGAAGACGTCAATGGAATCAAATTTAGTCAAAAGATGATCACAAATCAATTTCCAACCGAAAAGTTATGTTTCGATGTTTAGTCTCATATTGAGACCTATTTTTGGCATGGAAAGTGATCGAATTGGAGAATGATGTCTGAATCAAAGTTGTAGCCAGATGAATTAGCTTTCCAACACATTTTGAATCGCCTCAATCGGATATCGCAACTGTCTTTTTAAAACAAGAAATTCCGTTACATAGTCCGCTAAAACAACAAATTCCGTTAGTTTTTCCGTTAAAAACAAGAAATTCCGTTACACAACAACTTTTAATATATAGAAGATATTCATCTAAAATATTAAAGGTCAGAGATACGAATAGGACAATTTTAAGTTGCAACTTACACGAACTTTTCCATGATTGTAGTTTCATTTGTATATTTTTGGAAATATAATATTTTATCCCTTACTTTATTTTTGGTATTATACTTTCAAGTAAAAAACTGCCTTACTGTTGAATTTGGTACAGAGATCTCTAATTCCAGTAACAAAATATATAACGTTTATTAACACAAATANATAACGTTTTTTAACACCACTAGTGTTGCAATATTAGTTTAGGTGACGCGATGTGATAAACTCAATGAGATATACAATTGTCTAATTTAATTGTACTTATTGTTTAATGTCACACTAGTGCCATCTAGATTGGTATTTTAATATCAATAATGCTAAATAGCGATACTCTCTAAAATCATTTAAAATCCATTAATTGATGTTAGAAATCACGGCCATTCGATGTAAATTTTTTGGGAAAGTGACGTTCGAAGAATTTGTAGTTAAAAATCAAGTAAAAATTAGAATATGTGATTGAAAATGAGTTTATAAAAAATTAAATTTTAATGCATGTAATGAGTTTATTGTTTCATAAGGCTAATATGTGAGTGGAGACTCAAACAGGGGCGGACTTACATGAGGCTCAGAGGGGTTACCGCACCCACTCAATTTTCAGATTTTTCGATATTTTTCTTCAAATTTTCAGATTTTTTTGTCCAAGTTTTTTTATGTTTTCAAATTTTTTTCTCAAAGTTTTTTGGTTTCGTCCCCACTAAACTTCCTTCTTGAGTCCACCCATGAATTCAAATGTTATGGAATTAAAAATCGACAATGCAAATGTAAGGAAAAATGAATAGCAACGAATAAGAGATGTTTGTAAATAAAATTGAAGATGGAGGATTAAAAGGTTATAAAAAAAAAGAAAAGAAAAGAAAAGTGAAACATTTGAATATAAGGGGCATTTTCATTATTCGAAAATATACGAAGGGGCAAATAGTAATTTAAGAAAATAGGAGGGCAATCAATTTATGTTAACATGGCGGAGGGTTAAGTTGGCTAGTTGGTTGGTGGTATCGCCCCTTTCGCACACTATATATAAGTGGCCTCTCGTTGTAGTGAGAGAAAGTAAAAGAGTACCGCAAAGCACTTGGCGTAGTAGTAGGTGAAATCGCAACAGGAGGAGATGGATTCAGATTTCGGAATTCCAAGAGAACTTTCTGATCTGCAAAAACTTCGATCTCAGTATCAACCTCAACTCCCGCCCTGTCTTCAGGTGAATATTCACATTCTCTTTTCAACATTGTTATTGTATTATAATTGATTTCAGATTTTTTTTCCGAATAGACATATTTCTCTCTGTTAATGAATCTATTTTGATTTTTCCTATACATGCTAACTTCCAAGAGAATAGATCTGACGTGTACCCTGTTATTTTGTCTGTTGATGTAAAGTGTCTCTCTTTTTTCTTTATATTACCTAGTTGGCTATTTGGTGGATGAAATGTAGAAGAATAAGAAACCATTTCATTGCCGATTCATAGTATATTCAGATTTTAGCTCTTGGAAATGCTTCATTTAAGCCTTAACTTGAAATTTTAAAAATTGGAATTTCACTATTTCTAATTTCGTTTAGCACGTCTGTTTCTGCTCAATATTGACGTGGAATGATGCAAGGAAATTCAGCTACAATAATCAATTTTTTTGTTTCATCACAAAGTGTATGTGTCATGGAGTATTAATTTCAAATTTATGCTATTCACCCTCCAAAATATTATGCTTTATGAAGAAAAAAACTGCAGTTTTGCCTGGGGATCTCAACATTTATTTTTCTTCAGAATTTCTATCCTAAAGATCATTTTTTCCTATAATGTGACTGCAGACAAAATTAATTTTTTTTGGTCTCAAACCAACTGAACAAGATAGTTGTTCACTGATCTGTTTCATTTCACAAACTAAATAATTCCTTGTAATTTGATGTCATACACAGATATATGGTGCTAACCTTTGCTCCTGGCTTTTAAGTCCATATTTTGTATATGAATATGCTTCAACTGTTTACTGAGCTTGTTATTATACTGTAACTTGGACAGGGAACTACTGTTCGCGTAGAGTTTGGGGATGCCACCACAGCGGCAGACCCCTCAGGTGCTCATACCATAAGTAGGTCATTTCCTCACACTTATGGTCAACCTTTAGCACACTTTATGAGGGAAACTGCCAAGGCCCCTGATGCCCAAATAATCACCGAACACCCAGCAATCAGGTATGCATTTGATTGTTACTACATTTCTATCACTTCCTGTACATGGAAATATTTTTTGATATCATAATTTGATATTAAGTGATGTTTGCATCTCAACTTATGCTAGGCAAGGTTTGAGTCTGACTTTGCTTTTATCAAGAGTGCTATTTGAATTTGATATGTACAAAATTACAAATTTGCATGTTCTCACGCTTCTTTATACTTCTTCAGAGTGGGAATTGTTTTTTGTGGAAGACAATCTCCCGGAGGACATAATGTTGTTTGGGGTCTCCTTGACGCTCTAAAAGTTCACAATCCCAAGAGTACTTTGCTTGGATTTTTGGGTAATGATTTTATTCTGATGTTCTTTATTGGAGCCTTATGCACGCATTAAATATCCTTAACCTTAATCAACAAAGTTTATGTTTTCTGTTTATACTATCTGGTTGAGGTGTCTGCTCAGTGATTCCTTAACAATTTTATTCTTTTATGTTAAATTGGTTGTTTTAAAACAATTGGATGTTTGCTTGAGTATTGTTCACTTCTCTTACGAGATGATTGAGTTCTTTTGAAAATGATAAAACTTTGTAACATTATTATACATGTGTTACCAGGTGGTTCTGAAGGTTTAATTGCTCAGAAAACTTTAGAAGTCACTGACGACGTCCTTGCAACCTACAAAAATCAAGGTATGAGTGTATTACAACAAAGTTTACATAAATATATGTTGTCATAATTTAAATAATGTTATTAATTAATGTTATCTTTTGAAGGTGGTTATGATTTGCTGGGAAGGACAAAAGATCAAATTAGAACAACCGAGCAAGTTAATGCGGCACTGGATGCATGTCTAAATTTGAATTTGGATGGTCTTGTGATTATTGGAGGTATCCCTGATGTCTATTTAGGTTTTTGATAATCAAGGATCTATAGGTGTTTCATTTTTTATGACTTGCTTATGTTGTGCCTTTGAAGGGGTGACATCAAATACAGATGCTGCTCAGCTTGCAGAAACCTTTGCAGAAAGGAAATGCCCAACAAAGGTACATTATGCTTGCACTTGTGATTGGTCAGATATACTTCTGGATTATGATATGTATACAAATAAATATCATATCTTTGAGGTGTAAGTGCCTTTTTAACTAGAATGCTATCTTTAGTGTTTAGATGCTTTCATTGACATGTTTTATTGATAAACCATTAGAGAGCTAAGTGATTGTCTAAATTCCTCAGGTGGTTGGCGTACCTGTTACTTTAAATGGAGATCTAAAGAACCAGTTCGTTGAGACCAACGTTGGTTTTGACACTATATGTAAGGTATCAATTCTGGCCCTCTTCTCAATTTTCTATTCTTCTTTTGTTTAACTGGAAGGATTAAAAAATGGTTTTGAAACTTCTCTGTTTTTAACAAATGATCTTGCAAAGAAAGCTAATCTTATATCTTTTACTCATTTTAGGTTAATTCCCAGCTTATTAGCAATGTCTGTACTGATGCTCTCTCTGCAGAGAAGGTAAATGACTCAATTAGTGAGCTTTTGCTTCCTCCCTTTTTTGGGATTTCCTTCAAGAGTCCTATGCATTTTCCTTATTTTGCTTATAGAATAGTTGGTTGACTATTTTTGGAAGAATCAAGGAAATTTTTAATATTTCAGCCTTGAGAATTTTTACTCTCGAGAAGTTTAGTTCCCATGCTGCTCTTGAAAATTTTGTGTTGCACCTGTTAGTGTACTTTTTATGTGCACAATATCTCTTACTTTTCCTAGTTTTTCCTTTCCTTTTTGTTTCAGTACTATTATTTTATCCGACTGATGGGTCGAAAGGCATCACATGTTGCCCTGGAGTGCACTCTCCAATCACATCCCAATATGGTTTGTGACTCGCAATCATTGGACATTATAATTTCGATTTGATATTTTTTTAGAACAGCATGGCTTTCGTCTTCTGTTTAGAAAACCTCGAGCAATCTTGCAGGTTATTCTTGCTGAAGAGGTGGCTGCATCAAAGCTTACACTTTTTGACATCACAAAACAAATATGTGATGCAGTGCAGGCCAGGGCAGGACAAGGTAGAATCCTTTGAATTCTCTTATTCTGATTGAGATACTAATGTGACGCTGACCATGTTCTTTGGTACAGATAAGTACCATGGCGTTATCTTATTGCCAGAGGGTCTTATTGAAAGCATTCCTGAAGTATATGCTTTATTGCAGGTATATAATGGACTTACGTATTAATTTTGCACTTGTTTGGTCTTTTAACATCTATATATGGATAAATTGGTGCCTATATTTATCCTAATCCAATAGAAAGGATATTGGAAGGTTGAATTTTACCTATTTTTTCATTGGGCATGTATTTATCATTTTGATCAGCCCCTTTGTATCAAATTTGTACCTCCCAGGAAATCCACGGTTTGCTCAGGCAAGGTGTCTCTGTTGATAAAATTTCTTCTCAACTATCACCTTGGGCGTCTGCGTTGTTTGAATTCTTGCCAACTTTCATAAGAAAACAGGTGCATATTCTACATATTTAACTTTTATTCAGTGTCTTACTTACCTGAAATAACTGCGGTGTTGTAGCTCCTTCTCCACCCAGAATCAGATGACTCTGCACAACTGTCTCAGGTGCTTGTATCCGCCAACTATTTTTAATGCAAGACACTTGTAAAATGATTTGTTTTTTATTGATATTTTTTCCTTCTGTTCTCGAAAGATTGAGACAGAAAAGCTCTTGGCTCATCTCGTTGAAGCAGAAATGAACAAGCGATTGGTAACCTGTCTTCCTATTGCCTCCATTATATCATTTACCGGCTTCTGATTTTTCCTTCTGAAATTTTGTTCACAATATTAAATCTTGGAAACTATTACTTAGAGTGTTGCATCCGCGGCTTTGTTTTCTTAACAACTTTTATCTCCTTTGAAGAAGTCACTGTTCTTTTTTATACAATGAAAACAAACTTCTATTGTGTCTAATTTTATATGTTTTTATATTTTGTTAAAAACTTAGCCCATGTTTGAGCCCCGATTAAATAATTCATTTTTCTTTCTCCTCTTATTTGCCACACATTCTCTCAATAAAATAATATCACATAAACCCAAAACTTTTTAACCACACATTCTTCAAAAAATACTATTCCAAAATCAATTTTTTTTTTCAAATGATGGAGCTCAAACGAGGGCTTAATATTTTCATCTCATAGTTTGCACTTAGATTGAATATTTATTTCTGAGTTCACTGTCTGTTTCTTGCTACTTGATATCATTAGCTCTTAAAAAGAAGGCTCACTGGCATTTATCTGGTCATTCATTTTCTGCCTTTACATTATTTCAGATTTACCACTGTGCATGTCCCCTTGGGCAGTTCAAATGTCTTTTGAACTCTCTTTTGTTTGATATCTTTATTTTTGAGCATATATCTGATATCTGGTTATTTTTATAGAAAGAAGGAACCTACAAGGGAAAGAAATTCAATGGCATCTGCCACTTCTTCGGTTATCAAGCTCGTGGATCATTGCCGTCAAAGTTTGATTGTGACTATGCATATGTACGTTCTGCGTTAGACTTGTTCAGTTATAATAGATTTTTAGGATAACTAAAGCAAGGGATTGTAGGGTAAAAGGGAGTGTTAGGGCTAATAGTTTGGAAGTGCCGCTTTCAGAGAGGAATAGGAGAGCCTTCAAGGGAGTTGAGAATCCTTTATGCAGATTCCATCATACTTCCTTTTGTTATCCTTTATTCTAACTAAATTTGGATTTATAGTAAAACAAGTAACTAAAAACAACAATATTGTTTCAGGTCCTTGGTCATATTGGCTACCACATACTTGCTGCCGGTTTGAATGGTTATATAGCAACTGTAACTAACCTGAAGAACCCCGTGAACAAGTGGCGTTGTGGTGCTGCTCCTATAACAGTAGGTTCTCTGTTCTTTCAATATTTTTTATTTATGGCAAGAATGTGCATGGAAGATTGTAAACTTGAAATTTTTACTCTACTCAATTCCTTTTTCATTTTCCTCCTAAATTATGATGTTTCAATGAGTATAAGTTGAACCTGTTGGGTATTTGTTACTCTAGAGCATGATGACCGTTAAGCACTATGGTCGTGGCCATGGGGCTGCAACACTGGGAAAGCCAGCTCTGCATCCAGCAGCTGTGGATTTGAAGGGCAAGTCATACGTGTAAGCCATTTCTTAACGCATGTTTTGACTATTTTGTCTTAATGCACTCTGAAACATGGATTTTAAAATCTTATGGGCCCATCAATTTTTTCTTAATGTTTTAGCTCCTGGCAAATTTAGTGCCTTTGTCCAATGGGTTGAGTTATTGTTCGAACTTGTTTGCTACAGTCTTTTGAGACAGAATGCTACCAGATTTTTGATGGACGATGTATATAGAAACCCAGGACCCCTTCAGTTTGAAGGTCCTGGGGCTGATTCAAAGGCCGTAACCCTGTGTGTTGAGGACCAAGATTACATGGGTCGTATCAAGCAATTGCAGGAACACCTCGATAAGGTTGTGTCTATTCCACGGGTCATTTTCAAATTGCTACACTAGATAATTTAGCGAATGAATGCTATTTTCTATTTATTCACTTAAATAAGTTCCGTGTTCCCTTTTTTCTTCTTTTCCAGGTGCGGTCGATAGTGAAACCAGGGTGTTCTCAAGATGTTCTAAAAGCTGCTTTGAGTGCCATGACTTCTGTGACTGCCATTCTATCCGTGATGTCCTCACCTACAAGCGGGAGCACTCCCTACTAATTATTCTCTCGTCCTTCCTTCGAACTCTTATGGTGAAACTGCGCACTAAGTTGAGTTTTAGAGAATCTGTTAGTTTCTTTTCTTGTTTTGCATGCGAATCTTATGTAGGATTAGAGTATGGTAATAAACATAATTTTGTTTTGGTAATTTTTTGTCGAAATAATGTTGAGAATTGCCTCTGATGATTTTTGTCTAAGCTGTGAAGAGAATAATGTTTTGGAGGGAGGAATACTCAAGTCTCATATTACCCCTATATCTCCTGCATTTCTTCTCGTGAAGATGATAATGCTGGTAAAACAAATTTTCAGAACAAACTTTCTCATCCACAGTAGAAAAATTTGTGAGGGATAATTTAACTAGAGATACTAATTTGAAGCTTCTTATGTTTAATAGAGAGCATTTTTAAATTTTAGAGAGTAATTTTTTTAATTTTAATTTTTTATATGTACCTCAACAACGCTCTCTATTTTGAATTTTTATGCTCTTTTTTTTTTCATTGAACATTTATTGATTTCTTATATTTTATTAAGCATAATTTTTTTTATATGTTAATGACCAGTTAATTCAAACGTGATCGACATAATTTAAATTGTAGTGTATTGAAATTTGTAATTTATTAAATGCAATCATTGTTAATTAAGAATAGAACGTGAATTTAGTTCTTTCAAATTTACTTTTTATTTTAAAAAATTTAAAATAGAGAATTTTTTATAGCTTATTTTTAAATATTGACCCTTTTGGATATGTTATTATATTACTGCTAAATTATATACCTCAATCGAGAAATAGAATTCATTAATCTCAATACACCTTGTTTAATCTTTGGAACAAATTGATCGACCCTAGGGTTGAGTACATGAACTTGACCAACTTGATCATTGGATCAAACTAGTCGAGTTGGCACTTTTACTGAAATAAAAAATTAAATAAATAAACAAATGAATATTATTTTTAGTAAGAGTAAGGTAAACATCTCTTTCAAACGAAAAACTTAAAATATAATAATTTTCCATTATAAATTTGCCTGACTATTAATCGTATGCCTTAAGCCGGCCCTGTCGATGCTAATTTTGCACACGCACAAAAAGAAGAATTATGTTTATTCTGTTTTTGTCCTGTGACTGGTGGATTATTGCATGAATTGAACCATTACAAGGAACCACTACTATATAATATAAAAGAATTAGCTAACATACCGAAGCAAAATAATTTCGACTTTCAACAAGAAATTCGGTGCCTATTCAGTCCACGTCAGAGTTCATCCTTAGAGCTCAGTTATTGCTTTCCTGGAAAATTTTCAGGCAAAAGATTGAATTCAGAGATGGAGAAAAGCAAAGTTCATGTAGTGGTTCTTGCATATCATGGACAAGGCCACATAAACCCCATGGTTCAATTTTCCAAAAGATTGGCTGCTAAAGGAATCCATGTTACAGTAGCTACCACTTTGAGTAATACCAAGGCTATGCAATCCGCATCGAGCTCGATCGTGTTCGAATCGATATATGATGATTGCACTGAAGGAGGGGTGGCGGGACCGGGAGGATTTAGAGGATTTCTCGATAGATTCGAAGCCAGTGGCACAAGAAATTTGACTCGATTCATCATAAACTCTGAAAAACCCGTGAAATGTCTCGTTTATGATGCCAACATAACGTGGGCTTCGAGTGTGGCAAGCCATATGGGAGTTGATCGGGCTGCCTTTTTTACTCAATCGTGTGCTGCGATTGCTAGTTACTATCCGATGCACTGCGAGTTATTGGAAGTGACTCCATCAGTTCCTGCTTTCTCCCTGCCTGGATTACCTGAGATTGGACTTCCGAATCTACCTTCACTAGGTCTTGATACCGGACGATATCCTCCAATAATCCGGTACTTGTTACAACAATTCGGCAATAGTGAAAATGCAGATTGGGTTCTTTTCAACTCCTTCGATAAGTTGGAAGAGGATGTAAGCATAACTTACTCGATTATGTGCACACTATTATGCGAAATTATTGATGTCAATATTTTTGAACGTTCACATAACTTACTTGATAAAGCCTTCTTGAATGTAGGTTGTCAGTTGGATGTCAAAACTCTGGCCTGTGAGAACCATTGGACCGACTTTGCCTTCTATTTATCTAGACAACCGGGTGGAAGGCGACGATGACTATGGTTTCAACATACATAAGCCAAACACGGACGCCTGCATGAAATGGCTCGACTCTAAGGAAACCAGATCAGTCCTCTATGTCTCGTTTGGGAGCAATGCAAATTTGAATACAGAGCAATCAGTAGAATTAGCCGCTGCCCTTAAGCAGAGTAACAACAACTTCTTGTGGGTAGTGAAGCCATCTGAAGAAAGTAAACTTCCGACTAATTTTTACGACGAAAACTCCGGTAAAGGATTGGTAGTGAAATGGTGCCCTCAATTGGCAGTTCTAGCACATCATGCAGTTGGATGTTTCATATCGCACTGCGGTTGGAATTCGACTATGGAGGCAATAAGCCTTGGGGTGCCTATGGTGGCAATGCCTCAGTTTCTTGACCAGATGACAAATGCACATTTTGTAGAGTATGTTTGGCGGGTTGGAACGATCCCTAAGGCAGACGAGAAGGGTGTTACACGAAGAAACGAAATAAAGAGATGCATCGATGAAATTATGCAAGGAGAAAGAGGACAAGAGATTAGAAAGAATGCAATTCGTTGGAAGGTGCTGGCTAAGGAGGCTATAGATGGAGGAGGAAGTTCTGATAGCTACATAGATGAAATTATTTCTCATCTTATGGTAGCATAACATTAGATTTGATGCAAAATTCTGCCTTTTTAAAGCATAAATAACTTATTTTGAAGATCGTCATTATTCTCAGCTTTGCTATGCATAGAAGAAACTTCCTTGCAGAATACTTGCATAGTAGTAGGTTTGATGAAATGATTGCTGCTTTTTAGACACATGTTCTTCTATTGCAGTTCACAAACTTGATACCTCAGTCAAAATTTCTTGACAAGGAAATTTCCAAGATCTCTAGTTAATTGTCCATATGTGGAAGTTCTAAACATTGGAAACATGGCTAAAGATACCTGACCCGTGATTTTATACTTGATAAATTATTTCTAATTTAGCGAATTTATACATAATTTAGTGTAATTATGTTAATTATATAAAGAACTCGGAGTTGGATGCAATTGACGTGAATACAAGTGATTTTGGGCTTAATTTGAGTTGATTTGGAGCAATCGAAGGTTAACCGGATTGCACGTGAACGAGAAGAATTATTAAGAGAGCAATCACAGGAGATTCACAAGTTTAAGAAACTAAATCAACCGTTGAAAATTTTGGAGACTAAATTACAAAATTTCGAAACTTGAAATGGATATGGTTTATTGTGGAGGACGATGATCAAATTGCAAAGAAATAAAATATAAAATACCCACGATACAAATAAGAAGGGACTTGTTACGCCATGAAAACCTAGGACCCATGAAGGAACACAATTAGCTACGTGGTAAACAGTTCGGGGGCCCATGCCTCAGACGCTAGCATTGGGTGGCCCAGATGCATACAGGCGAACCGATCGAGGTGCGAGCGACCCGTCTCTCCCACATAAAACACCTGGACAGAACCTTTTATAGGCAAACCCCGTTGACAGAACTGGCCAGGACGAGGCAATGGCAAGATCTCGAGTGGATCCCACAAAACATGAGTTGACAAGACAACTCACTACCACTGTCGTCGCCACCATCCTGTTTGGTCAAGTTTAAAAGTACAGGCTAGGCTTTATAGACACAAAAAGGGTGATAGTATTTAAGGCAATGATTGATTAATGTATTTGACAAGAAAGGAAAGTCGTTCGGATGAGGCCACGTGTGCCACCATCCAATGGACTCCATTCATTTCGTCCAAGTATAAAATCTCACACTTAGTGCCATTCAAAGGTAATGTAAGTTTACACTTTAAAAGCTATATCCTTGCTATATATTTTAACTATTCTCTACCAAGGCGACCCCCTTTTTATTTATTGGAGGCTCACGTTCAAAGCTCTCCCACACTCTAAACTATTTTTTCAATTGACTTGACCGTCGGAGTGCGCGCGACCAACTCCATCCCCTCAAGAGAAGGCCAAGTGTGACTAACGGTTCGTTCAAGTGTACAGGAATCCAGCTTGCGTGGACGTGAGAGTTCTTGTGATCTGTTGGCTCATCATTGGTACCTTTTTTTGGGTCAACAAATTGGTGTTGTTTGTAAAAAATTTGACACCATAACCACGAACATCCTTTTGGTAAAAGTCGTCTGAAACAAATCCTTGGAGAAAGGCTTGGTTCTTGAGGAAAGAACCGCCGCAAAGAAGGAACATCTTCAACACCTACTTCTAGCCCAAAGTTAAATACTTGCTATGAGTTCTAGCCCCCACGGTTCACAGAGTAGAAATACGCAGCAAGAGGCTTCTAAAGAAGAGGTCATCCACACAAATGTAAACATGCGTCCCCCCATCACCAACATAGGCATGGCGGTACCACAGCACACTTAGCCAGGGAAGTAGGGGAAATGGCCACGAATATGAGAAACATAGCCCAATAGAACGCTGTCATGCAGTAGTTACTCATGTAAATGCACCAATAGTCAGTGTATCAGGCACCTTGGCGTGGAATGTTTCCCCAAGAAGGTAAGGAAAATGATATTGCATCATACCCTTAAACGCATGGCAGGGATATCAGCCTAGTGGAGAGGAAGGTGGAAGTAGACACCTCTACTAACTACGTTACAAGCTGACCCGGTGATAACATGTTGCAGGAGGGAAACTTTCTACCAAAATACACTCAAGACCATGAACCTCAAAGGTCCAACAGCGTTTTTGATCGAATTGGACCCTCAAGGCATAGAAATAGGTCTCATCAACCACCTCATGTTCAAAGGGTATAAGAACAATACCATGAATATGAACTTCAGGGGATTCCACCTTTGCCTAGGAATATGAGAGAGAGAAGAGACAAAAAACAAACTTGAGAAATCAAGCAGAAGTATCACAACCCCCTCATTATCAAGTGGAGGAAAATGATTCTGATGGTCCATGCAGATCATATGAGTTGGATAATGATGACGAAAGATTGCCTTTCTCCCAGAAGTTGAGAAGCTCCCAGTTCCAAATCACTTTGTGCCCCCAAAGATACCCAAATACGAAGGAAAAGGTGATCCTACAAAGTACTTCAAATATTATAAGACCCACATATCTCTACGAGGAGCCTCGTCGAAGCTGAAATGCAAAGCTTTTCATCTCATACTAACTGGGGCTGCAAAAATTTGGTACAGTAGTATCCCAGCTCGTAGCATCAGAAGTTGGCCAGACCTTAAAGAAGCTTTTTTTAAACCTGTATCTATCTAATAAAGAAAGGGAAGCCTCCATCCAAAGGCTGTAAGACATGAGGTAGCAGGCAGGTGAAACCTGAAAAGCTACTTGGCTTGCTTCACAGATAAGATGACTTATTGCGAACATGTTATAGATAGAAAAACCCTTTATGCTCTAAGAGGAGGCCTCAACATGAACAGCCATTCTGGAGGGACGTACGAAACAAAAATCCCACTTCTTATGATGCATTGGTGGAAATGATGAGAAGTGAAATTGTTAATGAGGATCTAATTGATCATCGTAATAGAACCTCATCGGGACTCCCACTACCTCAAAGATAGTGATGAGGCCCTATATCCCACTTAGTAGACCAGCAATGGACCCAGAGGGACACATGATAGTCCCCATCTCAGGCCAAGCATTGGCTACAACCACGCTAAATGCAATACCCTCTTTGGCGTATGAACAAGTTAGACCTGAGGCTTAAAGGCAGCTGAATCCATCTAGGGGAAGAGGTAGAGGGAGAAGTAGGGAGCCTCGGGACAGGCAATACTGCACATACCATCGAACCAATAGCCACAACACTGAAAATTGCCTATCAAGGCCGTATCATGAAAAACCATCAGGCCCCCGTATTGAGAAGAAAAACGCTCATCAGACGCAAAGGAGTGCACCTCAGACGAGGCGAGAGAGAGAGAGCCTAGACATAATGAGGCAAGGCAATACCACATGAATGAATCGCCTCGACGGGGATACAAGGAAGAAGGAAACATGGCAAGATAAGAGCCAAGTCTAAGGAGAGAGCTCCCGGCCAATGCTAATAATTCTCCCATCAGAGAAATTGACACCATCATAGGTGGTCTACACATAGGGGGAGAGTCCAGAAATGCTCAAATGAATTATGCAAGAGAAGTAAATGCCCCTTCCATGACGAGCTACTTGATCAATAGCACTGGCCACAGATCCGGGAACACCCCACCAATAACTTTTTCTCCAGAAGACATCTCGGGAGTTCATTATCCCCACTGCGATGCACTGGTGGTATGGACCATCGTAGCCAGGAATGGGCTGAGGCCTATGTTGGTGGACAATGGGAGCTCCGTTAACATCCTGTTTGGAACCACCTTTGACAAAATGATGGACCATGAACTCACCCCCATGACCGCTCCCTTATATAGTTTTACTGGTGACAGCATGTCCCCAGGGAAAGGATCACATTGGCAGTAGAAATGGGAGAGTCCCCATTTAAGGCTCATCACTTCATGGAGTTCCTCATTGTAGACCACTGAATCTGCTTACCATGGAGTATTGGGACGTCCCGCCTTAACAGAACTCAAGGCCGTAACATCCATACATCATCTATACATGAAATTTCCCACAGAGAAAGGAATCGCTACGGGGGAATGCTACCTTAGCTCTTTAAGAAAATCCGAGCCCCGCAGTGTAAATATGGTCCTAATGGACGTTGAAATGGTTGACACACCTGAAGAAGGTCCTACCCCTGAACAAGAGGAATACGTCAACATGATAGACGCCCCTGAAGAAGGGATCGTTGATATGGATTTAGACCCCAGGGTCACAGAATCAAACTCGCAGGCGACCTTGATAGAGGAGCTTGAATATTTCCTTGTGAACTTGCATGACCCCACAAGAGTGTTACAAATAGGGAAGAACCTCGAGTTAGAAGAAAAGATCAGGCTTAAGGACTTCCTACTCAACAACTTGGACATATTTGCATGGAAACACGAAGACATGTGATTTGTGTATTTTGTACACTTATTTGTACTCTTAGATCATGATATTTTAGTCTTTTGGATTAAATTCTACCTAATTTATGTTAAATTTTATTTTGTAGGTAAAACTTTATGTTTAACGAAGAATGTGAGAAAAGAATACTGAAATTTAATGAAATCTACAATTTTGGAGATTAAAGTCTACAATTGAAGGACTAAATTGCATTAGTTCTAAAGATGAGATGACTCGGAGAAAAATAAAATTAATGGAC